GGGAGGGAGGGAGGGAGGGAGGGAGGGAAGGAGGGAGGAAAGAAAGAATATATGGCTTCTGAAATTTCACAATGTGCCTGCCCATGTACCCTAAGTAGACCTTCCATTTTGGAGACAGGGGCACAAGTATCCTGCCTCATACCCAAAGGGATTAAAACTCTTTGATTCATAATAGCCAAGGCCAAACTTATCAAGAACTTCAGAGAGAAGGTATTACAGTGGACACATTTTGAATTATGAAAGAATTGTCCTTACCCATTGAGGCAAGGTTGCTGTAGTTCTCCAGCATCACATCCTTATACAGGTTCCTCTGAGCAGGATCTAGCTGCTCCCATTCCTTCTGGGTAAAGGCCATAGTCACATCTTTGAATGTTACTGATCCCTGTAATAGCAATATTCCTATTCAGTCTAATGTTATCCATATTATTGGGTGATTTGGACAAGATAATAAAGATTTGCTCTTACCTCAACCATTCAATGTTGATCATGATGTTATATAGGATACTAATTCTTTACCCAAGTCTGCATTTTTTTGAGAGACAAAAATCATATTAAAAAATGTCCCTGAGGGGCGCCTGGGTGCCTCAGTTGTTAAGTGGCTGCCTTCGGCTCAGGTCATGATCCCGGGGTCTTGGAATCGAGCCCCGCATCAGGCTCCCTGCTCCGCGGGAAGCCTGCTTCTCCCTCTCCCACTCCCCCTGCTTGTGTTCCCTCTCTCGCTGTGTCTCTCTCTGTCAAATAAATAAATAAAATTAAAAAAAAAGAAAGAAATGTCCCTGTTATGGACTGAATGTCTGTGTATCCCCAAAATTCATATGGTGAAACCCTACCCTCCAATGTGATAGCATTAGGAGAGAGGGCCTGTGGGAAGTAATTAGAATTGGATGAGTACATGCAGGTGGAGTCTCCATGAATGGGATTAATGCCCTTATGAGTCGTAAGACAGCTTGCTTCCTCTCTGCTCTCTCTGCCAGGTGAGGATATAAACAAGAGTCTGCAACCTGGCAGAAGGTCTCACCAGATCCCAACCATGTTGGCACCCTGATCTTGGGAGTTCTGGCCTCCAGAACTGTCAGAAATAAATTTCTGTTGTTTTTAAGCTACCCAGTCAATGGTACTTTGTTGTAGCAGCCCAAAATGACAGTCCCATTTGCAAATCTGTTTACTCAAGAGGATAAAAAAAAATCAGAGAGAAAGAAAATTACCAAAAACAAACAGAATCAGTCTATCTTTTCTTCTATAACAAAAGACGATGGAATAGAGTTTTGAGGTAGAAGAACTGAGACCCTTGATTTTTATAACCAGTGAAAAGATCATTCATGTTTGGAAGCAAAAATAATGTATTTTAGGCATGTAAGGATGCAGAAAGTGTATCACCTATGTGCTTTAGAAATAAAGAGAAGGAAAGGGACAGGGAAAGAGGAGGAGAAGAAGAAAAGAAGTGATTTTTAAAAGAAGGAAATTGCATCAGAATAAAGATTTCAAGATTGGGAAAGATGTAATATACAAGAAAGGGCTATGAATAATAAAACCAGTCAAATGTCTAGTTGCATCCAAGTAACTTGATAATGTTGTACAACTGTTATAAAAGTATCCCTTAAAATCAAGAGGTGTGTTGTAAGAAAAATAAGCAGGAACATAACTGGTAGGGTTGGGAGATGGGGGAGAAATTAAAGCATGTTCGAGAGTCTCCTCTTATTAGGCAGGTGAGAGGAGGATGACACAGCTACTGGAGAATTTTGCCACTAACGAACACACGTTCAAACGTATTTGTTTCACATTGCAAAATGACCCCTTACCTCCACAAACCACCAATCAATTAGCTGCATGTGTCACTAATCTATAACCTCACAGACCTCCAGTCACTGATTTCTAATAAGCCCCATCACTTAGGGCCACTGGCCTCTCAATCACTGATGTGATGCCAAAATGACTGATCCCAACAAACTTCCCAATCACTAACAGCAACAGATTTCCCCAATTGCTCCCCAGACACTCCAATCACATATTCCCAGGGGTCCCTCCACTACTGATGCCCGTGGAACACATCAATCTCTATCTCCGCTACGACCCCAAATTCCTACCCTATCAATCCCCAATCACTGACACCAACAGAACTCCACCACCAGCAGCCTTTACAGAAACCCTAATCACTGCCAGCAAACTGCACTGTACCTTCAGCCTCTTTGGCCAGTCCCTTCCCCTGCTCCCTTTATCTGAAATCTACCAGTCTCCTGAGAATCCGGCCCCTTACCGTGCTCCCCGGAGGAGGTTGTTTGTTTCGGCCCAACCAAGACTCGGGTACCTCATGGCCTGACGATGAAGTGAATGATAACTTTCAACCCTTTTTCATACATCCTTCAAAATCCCTATCATGTTTAGAATATCACGAGACTTTCAACCATGAACTCTCTGGTTCAATGATTCACTTGATAAACGCACAGGACTCAGCGTATAGTTGGACCCGTAGCTATGATTTAATATAGCTCAGGAACACACAGCAAAATCAGCTAAGGAAATGGTGTATATGGGGTAAAGTCTACAGAAACCAGGCACAAGTATCCAAGAGTCCTCTTCCAGTGGAATTAGGCAGGACATACTTGATTCCTCCAGAAATAAGTTGTGAGAATACGTGTGAAATGTCGTTTCCCAAGGAAGTGCATCAGAGACTCGGTGGCACTCATAGGCATCCTCTGCCTGGCACACACAAAGATCCTAGGTTCCCAGAAGGAAATCAGGAGCTCGGCATAAACCACACCGTTTACATAGTTTAGTCACAGTGAGCCACTTTTATCATTTCTGGAAATGATAGGAAGCCACCTGAAGTCTAAGTTCTCAGACATCAGCCAAAGGTCAACCTTGCAAGCAGGCTTTTCAAAGGATAGCTGTTTGGGGCCACTTAAGTCAACTTTTGCGCACATTCCGCCTCGTTCACTGAAAATTTGAACGCCACGCTCCTCCTCACTCTAGCTCCTGCACTCTCGCTCCATCGACATAGAGGAGTCCACAGCCTGGCCCTTCTCTTTCCTGACTCCAACAATCTTTTCTCACACCCAAACTCAGCCACCTACTTATCACCCATCCTTTCCTTAGACCTTGCCACATGCCACAACAGCACCTCTCTACTTAAAACATTTTACCCTCCGACCACTGTTTCCTATGCTGTCAGCCTTTTTCCTCTAGCACTTCCATGCCAATAATTCTCCAAATGCATTCGGCCCCCATAGCATTGATCTGAATCACTTTTCTACAGTCTTCCATCACCACACGCCCTTACTTTTCTTCTATCTTGTTTAGATTCTTTGTTCTTAACACCATATGCACTCCACGGAAAACAGCTTTAACGTCCTTGCCCCTTTTCTTCTCCACTGCACTTACCTAGCAAAGCCTCAAACTTAATCAAACCCAACTCTCCTCTTCATCTCTGCCTGCAACTTTGTAGCTGAACATCCCAAGAGAGAAAAATCAAACAACTGTGTTGCCTGGACTCACTTTAGGTTTATAACACATATCGCAATTGGGCATCCAATACCAGGAGTTTCCTATTCCTCTTTCCAAGATGGTTATTCCAAACATTCTCCTTTTTATCTCGGAAATCTCCAGCATCTACTCCTTCCCCACTCTCAGCTGATAAATTCATCTATACTTTCAAAGAGAAAGTAAGTGCGGGGCGCCTGGGTGGCTCAGTTGGTTAAGCGACTGCCTTTGGCTCAGGTCATGATCCTGGAGTCCTGGGATCGAGTCCCGGGATCGAGTCCCGCATCGGGTTCCCTGCTCAGCGGGGAGTCTGCTTCTCCCTCTGACCCTCCCCCCTCTCATGTGGTCTCTCTCTCTCATTCTCTCTCTCAAATAAATAAATAAAATCTTTTAAAAGAAGAGAGAGAAAGAAGTGTAAATGGACAAGAACTACCTTGCCTTGTTACCACCAATTCCACCAATCTGTTTCCAAAACCCCTATCGTCTGTCTCTTTCTGTTAAAATGGAAGAAGTGTTCCTTTTCTCACCTAAGGCTAGTTTCTCCACTTAGGCTCTAGATCCCATCCTCAACGGCCTTCTCAAGGAATTCACCCCCTGCAATTAACCTCTTTCTCTTTTGTACCACCTATTTTTCCACTTCTACTCAATCATTTCTATTGACATACAAAGTTGCTTTAAAATCAATTCATCTAATGAAAACCATCTCTTAATCTCATGTCCCATCCAATGTCAATTTAATTGCTCCCTTTACCAGCAAAACTCTTGGTGTGGTTGATGCTTGCTGTCTCTACTTCATTACCTCCATTCTTTCAACTCATTCCAACAGGATTTTACTCTTATCACTCCACTACAAACCTCTAATCAATCAAAATAATCATTGAGCTACATCTTGCCAAAGTCAAATTCTCTGCAGTCATGTGTCTGGGACTCACAAAAGCATATGACACAACTGTGACAACACAACTAGCATTGTCTTGAAAAGCTTTCTTCTTTATGCTTCTTTGACACCACCTTTACAATTTTCATCCTACCTCAGGGACTACGCCTCCTCATTCTCTTTTTTTTCCTGTCCTCTACCAAACCTCTAAATGTAAGAGTGACCGGGCACCTGGGTGGCTCAGCCAGTTGAGCGTGTGCCTTTGGCTCAGGTCATGGTCCCAGGGTCCTGGGATCGAGTCCCGCATCGGGCTCCCTGCTCTGCGGGGGGCCTGCTTCTCCCTCTGCCCCTCCCCCTGCTCCTTCTCTCTCTCTCTCTCAAATAAATAAATCTTTAAAAAAATAAACGTAAGAGCGACCCAGAGCTTGGTCCCTCTTTTCTTCTCTATCTGCCTTCTCTCCCTAAGTGATCTCATCCAATCTTATAGCTTTAAATACCATCTGTACGCTGAAGCCTTTCACATATGGATTCTCTAGCCCAAACCTCTCCTAAGTTTTAGATTCACACATTTAACAACTACTCATTCTCTACTTGGACATGTAACGGGCATCTTGACGTGGCCAAAACAGAACCACTGTCATCCACTCTGGCTCCCATTTATATCCATCAAATCTGGTTGTCTCCAACACAGCCCTTTCTCAGAAAAGGGAAGCACCCTTTCTCCAGTGCCTCAAGCCAGAAGTCTAGGTGTAAATCTTGATTCTCCTCTTCCCTCATGTTTCTTATCAGTTCATCAGTAAGTCTTACTGGCTCATCTCCCGAAGTATTCTGAATCTGGTTTTGTATTTCCCTGCATTTCCCTATTCTAAACCATCATCATCTCTTCTCTCCAACTATTGTGATAAACCCCTATCGGACCTCCGGGCACCTCTGCACACACACACAAGGACAATCCAGTAACTCCCACAGGCACTATAATCGCTTGGCTCCCATAGATCACAAATTGTCACACACCTCCCCAGTCCTTGACACACCACAGAGCCCCTATACCTGATCCCCAGAGCCTTCCGGACTCTGGCTTTTCCGTGAGTGCCACTGACTCCCCGCCTCACTGTCACCGCACATCTCCCCAAACACGGATTTCCATAACCTGTAGCACCCGCGGACCCTGCAGGGCCCCCATCACTGCCCCACAGATCCCCCAGAACGCCGACACCCCTCCCCCCCCCCGCCGCCAGAAGGCCCTCCAGCATCGCCTCCGATTCCCAAACCGCTCGTCTCAGAGCCTACAGTCACCCTCCAATCACGGACCCCCAATTAGACCACCTCGGACCACCACGCCGCCCCGCCCCGCCATCGCGCTCACCGCCGCGCTGCCCCCCGGCTCGGACACAGCCATCTCCGCCGGACGCCCGGCCCCTTCGGCCGTCCCCGCCCTCCTCCTCCGGCCCACGCTCTCCCGCTTTGTGAAGATCGGCTCGCAGGCGGAGGCCGACATGGCGGCGGCTCGAAGCGCGGCCTCAGCGGGTCCGGCGGCTGCCATGGCGGCGCCCCTGGGTATCGCGGCCGGGCGCGGCCATCTTGACCGAGGCTCCGCCGTACAGCGGGGGTCCGCGCTCCTGGCGGGCGCGCAGGGGGGTGGCCCGGGGGCTCGGTGGAGAGAGAGTCCTGAGAGGTGAGCTGCGAGCCGGCAGAAAGCGTGCTCAGTTCCTCACTGCACGGTGCCTCACGGTGTCCGACGCCCAGAGGCTCGGCCACGCGAAGGCAGAATTTGGAGTTGCCTTTCCGAATTGGTCACTGCAGCCTGCCGCCGGGAACCCCGCAAGCGTGAAGCCCAGCGAGGACTCCAGACAGCCAGGATAATAAGAGAGCTCGAGGGAGGAAAGAGAAAAAGCCCGATCACGGAGACACCACTGTTTTATAGGGAAAGAGCACTAATCGCTCAAATATATGTCTTTACATGTACGATATAAGAACAATGAGAAAAAAAGGAAGCAGCAGGTTCCATGAACACATCACTCCTCCGTGAAAACCCACGTCTAATGGAGATCAAACGGAACCCAATAATCAAACAATTGGAGCAGAAATTATTTCTCAATGAGCTGTTTGGTGTATTGACGCCGTTCATTTAACAATTTTATGTTGAGCTTTTACTGTGTGCAGACTAGGTTGCTGCACTGTGCTAGATAACGGGGAAAGAGTGGAGACCCACATAGACCCAGCCTGTGTTCGCCCTGCTGGAATTTACAATGGGGCAGTAGGCTTGTGAAGTTATTCTAAATATGCTGTTCCTTTTTCCAGAGTCAAACAAACCCTGTTTCGCACCTTCCACTTAGATGAATAAAAGGACTAGGTATCCCTCAGTCAGCAGCGGCTGCATCTGCGGCCTTTGTCCTCTCAGTCTTCAGTCTGAATACAATTCTCAGTATATCTTCACTGAGCTCAAGACTCCCTAGACCACCTAATTTCAAGACAGTTTTCTGCCTAGTCTCCCCATCCTATTACTGAAAATTTTTCCTAACAATTATTTTTTGCTGTTGCACAAATCACAGTGGTACGCTTCTCATTTATTCTCAAACTATCCCAACAATGCTTTCCCTAGTCTTGTGACATCAATTCTAGAGCCTAGCAAAGTATGCTGTAAATATTATGACAAGCAGAATGCTAATATGGCCCCCATTATTTCTGCCCAGCCCCCCCCCCACGCCCTGTGTTACACCATTATGATATTCCCCTCTCTTTCAGGAAACCTGTGATATCATTCCGATGACAAGATCCCAAATCAATTGATTTTGAGTTCATAAAAGGGGAGATTATCCTGGGTGGACCTGACCTAATCAGGTGAGCCCTTAGAAGAGACTGGACCTTTCCTGAAGTCAGAAATTACAAATATGAGGGCGCCTGGATGGCTCAGTCGGTTAAGCGGCTACCTTTGGCTCAGGTCATGATCTCAGGGCCCTGGGATTGGCCCTTTTCCTCTGCCTCCCACCCCTGCTCATGCTCTCTCTCTTTCAAATAGAATAATCTTTAAAAAAGAAAGATGAGGGGCGCCTGGGTGGCTCAGTTGGTTGGGCGACTACTTTCAGCTCAGGTCATGATCCTGGAGTCCTGGGATTGAGTCCTGCATTGGGTTCCCTGCTCAGCAGGGAGTGTGCTTCTCCCTCTGACCTTCCTCCCTCTCATGCTCTCTGTTTCTCATTCTCTGTCTCTCTCTCAAACAAATAAATAAAATCTTTCAAAAAAAAAAAAAAAGAAAGAAATTACAATATGAACAGACCTGTGGAGGGGCCACGTGGCAAGGACCTGAAATCAGCCTCTGGGAGCTCAGTCCTCAACAGCAAGGAAATGATTTCTGCCAACAATCTGAGGGAGCTTGGAAGCATACCTTTCTCTAGTGGAGCCTCTAGATTAGTACACAACCCAGCCAATACCTTGATTTCAGCTTCGTGTGACCCTGAGCAGGGAATCCAGCCATGCCACGGTCAGAATTATGACCTACTGAAATTCTGAGATAATAAATTTGTGTTGTTTTAATCCAGTAAAGTTAGTGATAATTTCTTATGCAGCAATGGAAAACTAAGGACTCAGTGAAAATTGAAGGCTAATTGCTTGATTGAGATTTCTCTTTGTCTTCTGGGGACACAGCCCTCTTCCCTGAGTTCCAGACCGAGCATTCTTCCACCCTCATCTTCTAGGTGGGAGCAGTTGCTTCCCATGCTCCTCAAATATAGTCCTGACTTCATTGACCCTGATATTACAGTCCTAAAGGTCCAATATTTACGTGAAAGAAAATAGCTGTCTGCTCTCTATCTGCTGACGGCTAGCTCAGAAAGAAAAGAGGCAGGCCAGTGTCTCCAGGCTTTTCTTTAACATAGTATTCCCTCACAAATGGAAACAGCTCCCACCACATCTATGAACAAGAATGCTGTACTAATTGTAACAGTTCTCCAAGACACCTTGATTCTAGTATTGACCAGTCATCCTCAGATACCGTTTGGGAAGCACAGAATGGAGAGAAAGAACTGGAAAAGCATAGGAGAAGTAGGTTGAGGATATTCCTGCACTGAAGAGGGGGGATGGGAGCAAGGAGGAGAGACCTGCCAAGAGAAAATGAGGGAATAAAGTTGGTAGGTCAGGGGTGCCAGACTGGCTCAGTCTGTAGAGCATGGGGCTCTTAATTCCAGGATTGTGAGTTCAAGCCCCACGTTGTAGAGATTGCTTAAATAAATAAACTTAAAAAAAAAAAGTCAGTTGGTGAGGAAGGGGTGGTTACCAGAAACTTTTCAACTTATAGTTCCATCATTTCTGCACATTGCAGTCAGTCAGTTTCCTCCTTCAGATTAATTGGAAAAGACAAAATCTTATACTTGAATTAATTCTGTAAAAACTTTAAGGATCAATGTGTTGGTAATATATTTACATGTGAATTTTTGTATATGTTAAGACATTCTCAGATGAGTAAAAAACTTGTAATATCAAAGAAATCCCTAGAAAATTGTCTCTGCTTTGGATCAACTCTATTATTTCCTTTGCTATCAGCTGACCTTACCGAATATACAGTTTTAGGTACCCCAGTTTCTAACTCTGTCTCCTGTATTAGCCTGTATTTTGACTCTTGACTATGTAGAACTTCTTACGACAGTCTCTAGGAAATGTCCTACGAACTGATCTTGTGTGGGGCTGTACCAGGAAAGGAAAGAGAACTGTGTGGTCCTACATATCAGTGCTTTCTCATTCATTCAATACTTCAGTACCCAATGAGTCCTTACTGCGCATCTAATCGTACACCAGGAACTATGATAGGCATTGTGGATGCAATGATGAGAAAAAACTTAAACACAGCTCCTACCTTCAGGGAGCTGAGGACCAGGGGAGGAGACCACTATTCTTCCAATAAGCACACGATGAAAATGTAAAATGATAGCTATGAAAAGTGCTTCTAGGAAATACACAGCGTGCCAGCAGAGCTCGTAATCTAGTCTCAGCAATTTTGAACCTTTCCGTGATAGCTAAAGATGAATAAGAGTGGACTTTGACAGCATTTCAGCTCGAAGGAATGGCATGAGCAAAGGCCAGGGCACCTCCCAGCCCTCACCCTCACCCCGAAGAACATGGAACCTTCCTGATCTCCTCTGAGAGCCCCTCCCGTCCCCCCCGGGTCTTCCTAGATCTCTGCTCCTCCATCCTTTTACTAGGGGCCTCACCCTTCTCCTTTCTCTTCAAGGGACAGGGTTCCCTTGCAGGGAATGCCTCCATATTTTCTGTGTCAAGGACCTCGACTCTCAAAGTTCTCATCGCCTGGGCTCTTGCCCTGTAGCCCATCCCACATCACCCATGTACATCACTCTCTTTTACTCAGAGTAAGAGGTGGAGGAAGAGTCCAGGAGTGGTGTGCCACGCAGGTAGGAAACGTTATGGATATGCAGGTAGATGAAGCATGTGACATGTAAATATGTCCAAAGCAATTGCTTCAAAGAAGAGTTGATGTTGGGGGGTGTAAGGATTGCAAAGTGGCAAGCTATAAATATCCTATGTCTTGACTGGGATGCTGGTTATATGGATGTGTGATACATCTGTGAACGTTTTAGTGATGTGTGCACTGACAACACTGGGCATTCTAGGGTTACAAATAAAATCTCTTTAATGTTCGTACAATGAAGCCCTGAAATAGGAAAACCAAAGATGAATGAAAGCTTCAAGAGACGAACAGAATACACAATCACAGTAGCAAAGGTTTGAAGTAGTAATAAATTTATTGCAACATATGTAAACGTGGTAATCCATAAGGAAGGGAACGCGTGGTGTTCACTTCAGCATCGGACACCCTGCGAATCCCCTCACATCTCCAGTTGCTCCTTTGTCCTAATAGAAGCCCTGCTAGAGGTCAGCTTCCAAGCGTTCGTCCTGAAGAAACCCAATCTCCAGCAGCGCCCCCCGCCCATAACCCGGCGCGCGGGACAAGTGTATTTTAGTTTTCAACTAAAACGGAAAAACACATAGGGACGAGGGGGCACAAATCCCGTCACTCCTGCGATCCGAGGCCACCAGAGGCACAGAAGGGTTTTGCTCTGCAGGCTCATCTTCGCGGGCTGTCTTCCGGAAACCTGGCCCGTGTCCCTGAGCTGGGGACCGCGTGGCAGTGGAGCTGTGGTCCGACCGAAAACCGTTTCGCGGACCGGCGGGTCTGGGCCCGGCTGAACGGGAGCTGGTCGCGAGCTGGTCGCGGCGGTGCGCACCGTGCGGCCTCGGACGCCTGCCCCGGAGTGGGGCGCGCCGATCGGAGCGGCTCCGGGCAGAGCGGACCAGCGGGGAGGCGAGCGCGCCGTGCGCCCCTAAGGCCAAGGGCTGCGCGGCGAGTGGGGTGTGGAGCCGGGCGGCAGCCCAGTGCAGGGTCGCGCCCGCGTGCGCCAGCTGCCAGGAGAGCCAGGCGCGCTGCGAGGCCGAGGGCTGCGTGCAGCGGGTGGGCACAGGCAGGAAGGCGCCCCCCGGAGCCCGCAG